TGGCGGCAGCCAGGCTGCCCTGGGCCACCTCCCACGCTCGGCCACTTCCAACTCTGGGAGCAATCCCGCAACCTTCCTCACTCTTCAGGGGGGGATGGACTGTGCAGGGTGAAGTAAGGGAGAAAATTCTGACAGGTTCTCACCTAAACCAGTGGGTGCTCTACATGCTCCTCCCTCCCCTGGGAGAGGCTGTGCTGGGGGCTGGGGGGGTGGGCTGGGGAAGGGAAAGGGGCTGCTCTGAGCCAGCCATCCTGAACACAGGGGCCCAGGCTCGGGGCCCTGGCTTCACCCTCCAGCTCACGTAGCGTGTCCATCCTGTGCTCCCTCCTCTAAGCTCGTCTTCCATGCTACACCCCCAGATACGAGGGCAGATGGGGGCTGGCAGGTGGGCACTTACTTGGGCAGGCCCCGGCTCAGCCACCTGGCTGGGCCAGGCCACAGCAAAGGTGCCCTCGGCAGCGCTGGGCTCCCTGGAAGGTAAGCTGCCAGCTGGACCCTCTGTGGGCTGGTGACGGCCACCAGGGAGAAGGGGTGGGAGGGCGGGAGGCAGGGAGGGAAGGTGGTGGGCAGGGCACGAGACAGAGACAGGCATGAGCCACCAGTGCTGGCAGAGGGGTGCGGGTGCCTGCGGCGGGCGCTGGCCAGAGCCTGGGGCAGATGCCAACCCTGAGGGGCACCTGCCTCCACTTCCTGGGTCCCCTGACAGCGGCAGGCAGGAAGGAACGCACGGCACTCGGCACCCCCTGAAACCTGCTCGTCAGAACGGCTCTGCCCGCGCCCCCTCAGGCCCCTCCAGAGGGCAGCCCTCCTGTGGGGCTGTCCCCGCTGCCCGAGCCTGGGCCGCAGCACTGTCGCCAGCCCCTCCTACAGGGCAGTCCCTGCCCTCCGGAGCCGTGGCAGAGCCGCTAGGTTATGGTACCATGTGCACAGCAGCCTGCCTTTCCCTCCCGCCCGCCTGTCCCCAAAGCCCCGATGCCACTGCCCGTGTGGCCTGTGGACAGAAAGCCTGTCAAAGGCCAAGACTCCACCCAGGGCCCTCCTGTGAGTCCCGCCCAGCACACGGGCAGCATGTCCATCCTGGACGCCCGGCGGGCGGTGTGGAGGCCGCTCACAGGCCCTGACGCCGGCCCACACCGGGGAGGACCCCTTCTCCAGCGAAACCAAGGAGCCCTTTCCCATCGGGGCTGGCGGGGAGCCGCCCACAGAGGAGAAGGAGCAGCTGGAGACGCAGCTGCAGCCAGCGCCTGCGCACAGGAGCGCGGCTGTGTGCACGTGTGAGCGGATGGCCCAAGCGGAGGCGCGGCCCCGGGACCAGCGCTGAGCAGCAGGCTTACCTCCCAGAGATCCCAGGGGATGGGCTGAGCGCAGCAGAGGGAGAAGCACAGAGTTAGCACAGGAGTTAGGGGGGCAGGCAAGCAACCCCGGGGACCCCCCTCCCACGCCCCCCCCCAGGGCCCTCAAGCCGGCAGGCACAGGTCAGCCTGAGCTGGGCTGGGTCCCCAGAAGGCTGCATCCTGGACACCTCTCAGGGGCCTGCAACCTCAGGCCAGGGAACACCCCAACAGGGCTGCTGCCAGGAGAGGCGCAGGTGCTGGGAGAAGCCGTCCACTGCCAGGTGAGGTCAGCAGGCCCTCCCCCGGGCCCCGCCCAGCCTGCTCTCTTCCATTCCCCACGGCCCGGGACAGAGTGGGAGGAGAAGAGCCAGGACTCCATGGGCCCACACGGCCGGGGCAGACGTGCGCCCAGGGCCCAGCCGCCCAGATGCCGATGGGCACACAGGTGGTGGCAGACTCAGACCAACCTGACCGGAGGGCGTGGGCGCCTTCACTGGGCTCGCCACGGGTGGCAGGGGGTCAAAGTCCAGGTCCAGCAGACTGGCCTGCTCCGAGAACGGCCCTGGGGCCTCAAACTGGGCGGCGGCGGCAGCGGCAGAGGAGGAAGGCCGTTAGTGACAGAAAGCACAGC